TGAGGAGGGACTGTCAGAGACCCTGTGTGTGTGTTTTCACATCTGCTGTCTCAGGTTGAATCAGGTGGAGGAGAGGGTGGGTTTTGATGAACGTGGAGGTTAGACCCACAGCACTTGTGTGTATGTGATTCCTGCCATTTTATTTAAGCAGCCACCTTCCTCATCCTTTCCCTAAGTGCTCCCTGGCTCACCTGCTTNCTCGACTGAACTGAACTGATACAGTCCATGGAGTTGCAGAGTTTGATACACTGAATGACTTTCCCTTTATGTCTTGTCAGAACAAAGAATGTCAGACAAGTCAGAGAGACACTCCTTCAAAGTTTCAAAGAAACCAGACCAGCACGTGCATAGTCAGCCAGTATGGCCTTGGAGCTTGGGAAGGGAGTCTTATCAGCAAAGGAGGACCAGCATTGACGTCCCAGGAAGGGAGGCATTTAATCTTTATTTTGAACATGGACATTCTTGACTTCTGGTCAATGTGTCCTTTTCTTTAATAATTAAAGCAAGTATACAATGTAAGTTTGATAGATCACAAGCAGGCTATTTTAGCTAGCATAAAATTCAAGCTAACTCATGTAGAAGCCAGAATGACTTCTCCAGACCTCAGTATGTGAACCTTTCTTTTATCAGGGCATGCATACCTCTTTCCTACTACTGAACTAGGGGTTTTCAAACTGAGTCCCTGGGGAATTCCAGGGGTTTCTACACACTGTCCTTGTTTTTCACCTCTCCTGTAGTTAGAGCTGCCCACTTCTTTTGCTTCCTTCAAAAGCTCTTATCTGAAAAGTTCTGCGACTAAAGGGTTTGAAAAAATCAGAGCACTCAAAAAATGACTTTTGCCTTAGTTTCAGGTGTACAAGTAGTTGTAAATTGTAAAATTTAAATTTGTAAAATTGTAAATAAAAATTTTAAATTGTAAAATTTCAAAAATTGAAATTTTTATAGATTATACTCCTTTATAATTATTATAAAGTTGCCTGTATTCCCTTGCTGTACAATATGTATTTTTGTAGCTCATTTATTTTATACATTGTAGTTTGTACCTCTTAATCTCCTACTCCTCTTTTGCCCCTCCTTCTTCCCTCTCCTCACTGGTAACCACTAGTTTGTTCTCTTTCTTTTTTGTTTTATTTACTTTTTAGAGTCTACATATGTCCTGATAACATACAGTATTTGTCCTTCTCTTAGTTCACTAAGCATAATACTTTCTAGGCTGAGTAATATACCATCACACATATATATGTGTATATATATGTGTGTGTGTGTGTGTATATATGTATACACATCTTTATTCACTTATCTATTGATGGGCACTTAGGTTGCTTCCATATGTGGGCTACCATAAATAATGCTGCAATGAACAGCATTGGAGTGCATGTATCCTTTCAAACTAGTGCTTTCATTGTCTTCTGATATATACCCAGGAGTGGAATTGCTGGATCATGTAGTAGTTGTACTTTTAATTTTTTGAGGAACCTTCACACTGTTCTTCATTGTGACTGCACCAATGTGTATTCCAATCAACTGTGTACACGGGGTCTTTTTTCTCTACATCCTTATCAACAAGTTTTATCTGCAGTCTTTTTATAGATGGCCATCCTGACAGGTGTGATTCAGGTCTTCCAGGGGCCTCTATTCTTGTGTCAGAAATCCTCCTAGAATTGGGTTCCTCTGCCTCAGGGAGAAAAGGACAGGTGGAGGCTGAGGCTAGCTGAGTGCTCTCTTGGTGTCTGTCTTCCCGTGACACGGCAAACTTTGAGACGGCAGGAGTGTCCCTTTGATCCCTACTGGATGCCCAATGTTTAGCATCTTTGCCACACCAGTAAGTGCTCAATAAATACTGTCTACACTTTGTCCATGTGAACACTGTTGTATTTACACAGCCATTTTACACTCTGGTGGCTCAGTGGTAAAGAATCCACCTGTCAGTGCAGGAGACTCGGGCTCGATCCCTGGGTCAGGAAGATCCCCTGGAGAAGGAAATGGCAACTCACTCCAGGATTCTTGCCTGGGAAATCCCATGGGCAGAGCAGCCTGGCGGGCTACAGTCCATGGGGTCACAAAAGAGTCATACAGGATTTGGAGACTAAACAACAACAACCCTTTTATTTAGATATAACATGCATAAAGAAAAATGTGCAAACACACATGTAGAGCTGAAATTTTTCACGAGTTTTCCAGAAGCCTTCCTTTTGCTCCTTTCTCATCTCTATTCATTACTTCCAGGAAAATTTCATCTTATTCCCAACAGCAGAGACCAGTTGGGCTTTAGAGGGTTTTTTGTTTTTTTGTTTTGGTTTGCATTCTTTAACTTTTTATTTATTTGGCAGCACCTCACAGCACACAGGATCTTAGTTACCTGACCAGGAACTGAACCCACAGCTCCTGCATTGGAAGCATTGAGTCTTAACCACTGGACCACCAGGAAAGTCCTAGTTTTGGTCCTTTAAAATAGATGGATTGATGTAATATGTCCTCTTTTGTCTCTGGGGTCCTTTGCTCACTGCTAGGTTGGTGGAAATCACCCAGATTGTTGCATGTAGCTGCCTGAAATTCATATGTCCATTATGTATTCACACTCATGGCTACTGGGTGGGCAAAAGTTTTTTTCTGTAAAGGTGTACTCAGTCACATCCAATTCTTTGCAACCCCATGGACCATAGCCTGCCAAGCTCCTCTGTCCATGGAACTTTTCCAGGCAAGAATACTGGAGTGGGTCACCATTTCCTACTGCAGGGGATCTTCTCCATTCAGTGATCGAACCCACGTCTCTTGTGTCTCCTGCATTGGCAGGCTGATTCTTTACCACTAGTGCCACCTGGGAAGCCCTCTCTGTAAAGGGCCAGACAGCAAATGCGGTCGGCTTTGTGGGTCATTACGGACACTGTCATGACTTCTCAGCTCTGTGAGTGACTTCGTAAAAGCAGCCATGGAGGATATCTTCAAAAGTGGGCATGCCTGTGTTTTGAGAAAATTTGATATTCACCCTGGACTTTGAATTGCACATACTCTTCATATTTCACTAAATATTAAATTTCTGTCAATGATTTTAAAATGTAAACACTGTTTGGCAGTCCCTCAAAAAGTTAAACACAGAATTGCTATAGGACCCAGCAATTCCACTCCTGGGTTTAAGCCTAAAATAACTGAAAGCAGTCACTCGAAGGATACCTGTGGTCCCAAATTCAGAGCAGTATCCTTGGCAATAGCCAGAAGGTAGAAACAGGACTTCCCTAGTGGTCCAGTGGTTAAGCATCTGCCTGCTAATGCAGGTGACACAGGTTCGATCCCTGGTCGGGGAAGATACCACATGCCATGGAGCAATGAAGTCCATGTGCCCCAAGTACTGAAGCCCGCGTGCCTAGAGCCCATGCTCCACAAGAGAAGCCACTGCAATGAGAAGCCCACACACGGCAACTAGAGAGTAGCCCCCACTCACCAAAACTAGAGAAAGCCTGTGTGCCCCAACAAAGATCCAATGCAGCCAAGAAAAAAAAAAAATTCATTGAAAAGAAACATTTAACAACCTAGCTGTCCATCAACAAATCGACGACACACAAAATGCAATATGTACATAAAATTGAATATTAGCCTGAAAAAGGAATGAGGTTTTGATCCATGCTACAATATGGATGAATGTTTAAATGTTATGCTAGTGAAATAAGGCAGGCACAGAAGGGTAACTATCCTCGGATTCCACTTACTTGTGGTATGAATAGGCAAATTCATAAAACAGAAAGTAGATTAGAGGTTACCAGGGACTTCAGGAAGAGGAAGTGGAAGTTAGTGTTTATGGGTAAAGTCAGTTTAGAATGATTAAAAAAAATTGTGGAAATGGACAGAGGTGATGATTACACAACACTGTGTGTGACTGAAATCAAGCCACACTCCCTTTAAAGACTCTAGGAAAGAATCGGTTCTTGAGTTCTTCCAGCTTCTTGTGGCTGCTGGCATCCTTTCGCTTGTGACCACAACAGTCCAGTGTCTGCCTTGGTGGTTGCTCCATCTTAATGCCGATGAACTGTACACTTGAAAATGGTATGTTTTATGTTATGTGTGTTTTACCACAGTATTTAAAAAATCCATATTGGAAACAAAAACAAACCAAGACAATGTAAAAACCATTCTTAGCTCATGGGTTGTACAAAAATAAATGGTGGGCAAAGTTCCCTGGTGGTCCAGTGATTAAGAGTCCGAGCTTCCACTGCAGAGGGTACAGGTATTCCATCCCTGGTTGGGGAACTACCCCCTGCATGATGCATGGTGTAGCCAAAAAGAAAAAAAAAGATGGTGGGCTAGATCTAGCCCATGGGCCATAGTTTGACAACTTCAGTTGCCCATTATTACTTTGAAGGAATAAATCATAGTTTTTATTTTCTATTGTGATAGGCATTTGGGAATGAACATGGCATGTAGTTCTTTTTTTAAGATTTATTTATTTATTTGTTTATTGGCTGGGCTGGGTCTTCGTTGCTGCACTTGGACTTTCTCTAATTGCAGTGAGGTGGGGGCTACTTTCTAGTTGCGGGTTGGGCTTCTCATTAGAGTGGCTTCTCTTGTTGCGGAGCACAGGGTCTAAGTTCGAGGGCTCAGTGTTTGCAGAATGTGAGTTCTGGGGTTGTGGCGCATGGGTGTAGTTGCTTTGAGGCATGTGGGATCTTCCAGGATCAGCGATCGAACTGCTGTCTCCTGCATTGCAAGGCAGATCCTTAACGACTGGACCACCAGGGAAACCCAGCATGCAGTTCTTACACAAGGACATGACTCTGGTCACATGTGTGTGCCCCCCCCCCCCCCCCCTGCTCCATGTTAAGCTGGTTTCTCTCCCTGCTCTTCTGACTATGGTTCCTGGAATTCCACCAGGTGCTATCTTCTGGACCAGCCCCCCAGCTTAGATGTGGGCAGGGAAGGCTCTGGAAGGTGGAGTCTGTGGCATTACTAGGTCCCTGGATTCTACCCTGGGGGCTTCCTCTTAGCCCCGGATGTGGAAAGGGAGGCCCAGGATGCCGAGGGTCTTAGCCAAGACAGGAAGCTGCACACCCAGCAGCCTTAAAGAGGGAGCAGAGGCAGGGGCGTGGAATTAGTGTTCAAAATTTGGCCTGCTGAGTCCACATAGAGGGTAAGTGACAGCTGCTCCTGCCTGTAGCGGCAAAGCTGAGTCTCCAGCCCCATCCTCAGTTAGGACCCACAGCTCCCAATCCCATGTGCTCTGTGGATCTGAGCTTCCCCAGGATGGGGAGGGGTAGACCCAGATAGGGGTCTCTTGGTTTTTTTCTTGCAGCACCTGCAGGATGAAGGCTCTCTCCTTCCTCTTCATCCCAGTCCTGGGGCTGCTGGTGTGTGGCCAGTCGCTGTGCCCCATAGATAAAGCCATCAGTGAGAAGATCCAGCATGTCACCAGCTCCCTAGGTAAGAACCCTCCCATCGAACCTCAGCCAGGCCCTCAGGGGCCCCTCTGATTCCTGACATGGAGCAAACATCAAGCCAGCCCCAACCCCAACCAAATCTCAACCCCAAACCCAACCCAACGCCAATCTCCACCCGTCTCCACCTCCAACTACAGCTCAAAACCCTCCTCTCTCGAAAACGCCCACCCAGGACAGAATCCTTGGAGGTGGGGAGTTCCCCACCTACTGGGCCTTCCGCAGGGGAGTGTTCTTGACCCTCTGCCCATCTCCAAACCGCCAGGGCCCAGGCAGAGTGAGAAGGGGGTTGGGGCAGCTTGGTCTCACAGTTCCTTTGCATCACCCCTTCCCACAGTTCCTGAGGCAGTGAGGAACATTGGCCTGGACTGCCAAAGTGTCACCTCCAGGGGGTCCCTGGTCACCTGCCCTTCAGGTAGGTACAGAACTCCGTTGTCCAGTCTCCCGGGTCTATTCTCAGCAACCCATACCCCCCTCCACGGTGTTCAGGTTCCATTTCTCTAGAACCACGGAGTCCCAGCCTCTAATTCCTTAATATTCTGGTCTGCACTCCCGGCCCTGTCCCTTTCCCCAACTCTCGGGCCCCATTTCCTCAGGACACTGGTGTCCAGGCCCCTAGCCTCCCCGCCACCCACGCTGCCAGCCCCCTGGAAGCCCAAACTCGCAGCTTCCAGCTCGGGGTCCAAGCTCTCTCCTCCTTTGCTCCCCGCCGCAGGCTTCGCCGTCACTGGCTGCACGTGTGGCTCTGCCTGTGGCTCGTGGGACGTGCGTGCTGAGACCACGTGCCACTGCCAGTGCGCAGACATGGACTGGACCGGAGCTCGCTGCTGTCGCCTGTGGATCCAGTAACCTAAAACTGCGCTTGCGCGGTGCAGGCCTGGGGGCGTGGCCAGGCATTTGGGGGCGGGGTCACATCTCCGAGGGGCCGCTGGAAATAAACCTCCTTGAGAAGCTGATGGAGAGGGCCCGGGCTCTGAGCTGTGTCTTCTGTGGGGTGTGGGTGACTGAGCTGGCGTCTCCAAAAAGAGCAAGGTGCATTAGCACCGGAGGAGGGGGGGCAACCGCAGCTTTTCTTATCCCCATTCCCCCCCTCCTCCCTTGTTGTCCGCCACTTCTACTTTTGAAAATGGGGCCCCAACTTCCTTTAATGACATCCACACTCAAGGCTCATGGTCTTCGTCAAAGGAGAAGAGAGTGTTAGACTATTTTTGTGGGGGGCCTCTCTGCACGGCATGTGGGATCTTAATTCCCTAACTGACCATGTATGGAACCCGTGCCTTTTGCAGTGGAAGCTCTGGAGTCTTAACCACTGGACCGTCAGGGAAGTCCCGTAGTGTTACCTTTGAGGCCACTTTGACGGTCACATGAGGGTCCTAGGCCTCCTGGGAAGTTTCTGGGTTATTCTCCCCCACAGTGATGCCTCTTGGGGGATCAGGGTCTGGACAGGACAGGAACCACCCCACCCCCACCAACCCCTACCTCACATACGCTCCAGAGCCTTAAGTCATGAGCAGCCTCAGGGTCAGGGTGCATCCCTATTCATCGCTGTACCCAGAGACCTGAGCTCCATCCCTCACTCCCCAACTGCAACAGGGACATTCGTTCCTATTCCTCATGAACACTCAGATATGACAACACGCGTAGGGGACTTGTTGGCTCTTTGGTATATCCTGCTTAGAAGAGAGAATGGCACATCGAAGGTGTTCAGGAAATGTCTACTGAATAAACAACCAGACACACAGGTGAATACACCACCTAGGTACACATGCTACACCTATATACACAGTGACACCTGGCCTTGTGCACACAAAATACACAAGCCAGTTACCATGGTCACAAAGGACGCCACGCCCTATAGACATGCACATGCCAACTGTGGGGAGGGAACTAGGGACACAGGAACTCTTGTATGCCTTGGAGGGACTCTCGTGCTTTCAACATCAAGTCCCCATCCCAGCCTGGATGACGTTGGTCTCAGTCTGGAGTCAATGCCCCAGAAGAGAAATACTCAGCATCACTGGGGGCACAAATCCAGGTGATTCAAGGTCCAGTTTCCTGAGAACCCTAACCCAGGAGTCTTAAAATCCAGTCCCTGAGAGACGCAGACAGAGACTTCAGAACACTTGGTGCCCAGATTTAAGAGGGACCCCAGACTTACATAGCACCGTCCCCAGCAGCACACTCCAGAGGCTGAAGAATGGGTGACAGGATGGGTTTCTGGTTTTCAGGATGATTTGGACTCTTCCTACTGACAACCACCTCCCCTGGTGGTACACCACCCCACCCAAGGCTGGTCGCAGTGATCATGAACTGATATCACAAACACTCCTGGTGCCCATGGAATCCACTACATGCCAATCCAGGGATTCCCCTCCCAGGTCCTTCCTCTTAAAGCACTTTGGCCTTGGGGTTGGAGTGGGATCAGAGTCAGAAATGTGTTAAGGACCAGAGAGGGCAAGCATAGTACCTTGGCCATCCTGCCCCCTCACTGTCCCCAAACTCTCATGTGAATGCCTCTGTCTTCAAGACCCACAACTATCCCCTTGTATCTGGACCCCAAGAAGGGCCTCTTTTGAGCTCTCCATTTCAACACAGTCTTCCTCCTATCCCAGGGTGTAGACTTTGAAAGGCAAAGCCCTTTCTTAAGTCTCTTTCCTCATTTGCTAATTGCCCAGCCCCCTGTGAGAGTTGAACTGTGGTGCTGGAGAATATTCTTGAGAGTCCCTTGGACAGCAAGGAGATCAAACCAGTCAATCCTAAAGGAAATCAACCCTGAATATTCATTGGAAGGACTGATGCTGAAGCTAAAGCTCCAATCCTTTGGCCTCCTGATGTGAAGAGCTAACTCATTAGAAAAGACCCTGATGCCAGGAAAGATTGAGGGCAGGAGGAGAAGGGGGCGAAAGAGGATGAGATGGTTGGATGGCATCATCGCCTCAATGGACCTGGATCATGCGCCCACCCTAAACCAATCCCTGGTTAGGGTTCATTTTCCTTCTTTAAAGAAAATTCAGACTGTTGCGCCATGAAAGCATCGGGTCAGCCAACCCCACGGGGTCCTCTTAGGCCACCATGACATCATTGCTTGTGGGTCTTCAGTTCCGGGGCTACCTTTTTCTCCAAGTCCAGAGAGCTGTACCCTCGTTTTAGCCTCATTTTAGTCAGGGAAATGTGCAATGTTGCAGACCCACCCCCTACGCCTGTCCATCAGAGCAGAGTCAGTTCCCCATTGGTCCATCCTTTCTGCTGCTATTGCATCATCAGTGGAGGCGAGGCCACGTGTCTCAACGACTGCATTCTTTGTAAGAGGAGATGGAAGAGCTGGCGTCTAATTATTATTAAACTGATCTTCCTTGAGCAGACAAGACTGGCAGTACTTTATTTATTTACACCTCACTGGGTGGCATGTGGGATTTTAGTTCACCAGCTAGGGATATACTACAGCCCCTGCTGTGGAAGCTCGGAGTCTTAATCACTTGACTGTCAGGGAAGTCCCAAGATTGGCAATACTTCCGGAAAGAGAACATTATTAAAAAAAGAGAGAGAGAACATTATCCTCTCCAGCCAAATTTCAGGGGTAATTCCGAACTTGCACGCATGCTGTCACTTCAATTGTGTCCTACTCTTTGTGACCCTATGGACTGTAGCCTGTCAGGCTCCTCTCTCCATGGGATTCTCCAGGCAAGAGTACTGAAGTGAGTTGCCATGCCCTCCTCCAGGCGATCTTCCTGACCCAGGGATTGAACACGTGTGTCTTATATCTCCTGTGTTAGCAAGCAGGTTCTTTACCACTAGCGCCACCTGGGAAGCCCAAAGTTACTTAGAATTTAATCACATATTTTAAGCCTAAAACATACTCACTTCTCACACATAGAAAGTTTTAATCTAATTTTTTTCCAAAGGGAGTGTAACAGAGTGGGACCCTATGGGGCCTTCCCAGGACAGACACCACCTCCCCCCATGTCCTCTGCTTGTCTCTTATCTACAGAAAAATTTTATCCAAAGAATAAATTTAATCAAAGAAATTTTAAAAGTGCAGAAACAAAGAAAAATGATCAAATAGAATAAAATAATAATAAACCATTAAACTAAGTCAAGGACATTTAGTCCCTCCTCAAGGGCTATAGATAATACTGTGTCATATGCTTGGAGCTGTTTCTCAGATACCAAACCCCCCAAGTGGGGGAAACTAACTACACGATGCCCAGACTGCAGCCATGATGTAAGCGGCCACATCTTACACAATTTCAAGAGCTGGCCTCAAGGAAATGGAAACAATCCAACCCTGGAACTGAAGATTAAGTGTACTTAAAGCAATCAAGATGACACTGATCAGACCACTGCATAAGCAACTTCAGGATGATTGTCAGAGCTGATGTACTGTTTCTGGGCCCCTCCCTCCACCTATACACTCCTAAAATTCCCCTTAAAGCTCTTGCCCATGATCAGCAGCTGGGAGATGACTTTTGGACATGCCACGTGTACACATGAGCAAACGTGCAGCTGGAAGTATTCAGGTATGTATATACACACACATATATACACACACAATGGAATATTACTCAGCCGTGAAAAAGGATAATGTTCTGCCATGTGCAGCAACATGGTGGACTCAGACGGTATTATGCTTAGTGTGGGATTCCCAGATGGCTCAGTGGGTAAAGAATCCACTCACAGTGCAGGAGATGTGGGTTTGATCCCTGGATCAGGAAGATCCCCTGGAGGAAGGCATGGCAACCCTCTCCAGTATTCTCGCCTGGAGAATCCCATGGACAAAGGAGCTTGGAGTGCTACAGTCCACAGGGACACAAAGAATCGGACATGGCTGAAGCAAATGATCATGTACACACGCACATGCTTAGTGAAGTAACTCAGAGACACAAATAGTTGTATGTCATGTTAGTGTATGTTATCACTTGTATGTGGAATCTAAAAACAATTTTTAAAGGAATGTACGTAACAAAATGGAAATGGACTCACAGACAGGACAAATTAGTGGTTACCAGTGGAGAGAGGGGAGAGAAGAAGGGAAATATAAGGGCAAGAGATTAAGAGATAAAAACTAATATGTATATAGTAGATTAGCAACAAGGATACATTTTACAGTACAAGGAAATATATCCATTATTTTGTAATAACTTTAAATGGAGTATAAGCTACAAAAATATTGAACCACTATGCTATACACCTGGAGCTAACATAATATTATATAAGTCAACTACATTTCAATTTTTAAGAACCCTGCCAGGGACTTCCCTGGTGGTCCAATAGTTAAGACTCTGTGCTTCCAATGCAGGGAGCATAGGTTCTATCCCTGGTCAGGAACTAAGATCTAGGTCAGTGCAGGAAAAAAAAAAAGGAAAATAAACCTGCCAAAAACCCACATGTGTTTCGAATTATATTTACTTTTATCAGAAGGGAACTGCTCTAGACTGAAAGAGAAAATTCCTTGTATACTTAGCCTCATTTTAATCCCCAGTTTTCAAGGTCAGATAGACACAAGGAAAGCTTTAAAGATACCTATACAGAGTGGAGACAGTGTGTGTACATGAATATGTATAAGCATGCAAATAAGCACGCCATATGTACACATATACAGATGTGTGATTGGGGGTATTCAGAAGTGTGAGTGTGCAAGTGTGTGTAGGGGGTCTGGGTAGGTGAGCTGATATGTGGATGAGTGTGAATGTGTTTCTGAGTGTTCCTTCGCCAGGGGTCTCCAGGTGGAAGAGGAACTGCTTCTCGGTTAGACCAAGGTGACCTCTGGCCTCAGTCCCAGATGTGGGAGTGGACTTCCAGTGGTTAGCCCCATTGCCTCATATCCATTCTTCTCCTCCGAAGGGCCTTGGAGAAGTAGAACTTCTCTGGGTGGAGCTGAGGGGTGGGACTAGGACAGAGGGAAGGTAGGTGTGGGGACCTAGGAGTCTTGCCCCAAAAGGTGGGGTGCCATAGTATCTCCCATGAGAGCAAGAGATGGGAGGATGAGGTTCATCCAGGTGGACACACATACACACACACGGAGAGCTTCCGGTAAAGTTCCTGACCATCCTATTTTCAAAATTATTTTTATTGAATATAATTGAGCCATGACTGTGTAAGTTTACAATGTACAGTATGTTGACTTGATACATTTTTCGATTGCAATATGACGATCCCCATGGAACTCAGTTCTCCTGCATTGCAGGCAGAATGTTTATCATCTGAACTACCAGCAGGGCATTAGTTAATACCTCTACCACAAATTGCTGACCATCTTGTTCTGTTTCTGGGTCTGGGTGAACCTATCTTGTCCCTCCTGAGAACTTTGGTCTCCTAAGACTCTTTTTTTTCCCCCCAAGCTGTGACTGTTCTTTTTTAAAAACAAGGTCTTCTTTTAAAAAATTTTCCTTTTGGCTGCACTGGGTCTTTGTTGCTGTGTAGGTTCTCTGACTGTGGCGAGGGGGGCTACTCTCCTGTTGAGGTGGGAGGGCTTCTCTTGTTGTGGGCTCCAGTACTTGTGGCTCCTGGGCTCTAGAGCTCGGGCTCAATAGTTGTGGTGCAGAGGCTTAACTGCCAGATTTCCCAGATCAGGGATCCAACATGGGTCTCCTGCATTGGCAGGTGGATGCCTAAGGCGCCTGTTGAGCCGGGGTTGCAGTGAGGATGCCCCAAGGGTGGGGGGGTTCCTGGATCCCTGAAAGCAGGAAGCCTACATTCTCCTTCCTCTCCTCCACCTCAACCCAGAGATTTCCTCATCTCCCCCAGACACTTTCCGGTGGGTGGGGCTGTGTGAAGACAAATTTGCTGCCGGGGACCATAGAGACTGAGGAAATCTACGTAAACCAGAAGGTCAAGATGCAGGCGGTAATCAAACACAAGAGACGGGGATCCTCAGGCAATAAAGAAGGTTAGGCATCTTGGGTGAGGAGGGGAGAGGTTGGGATGGGAGGAGTGGGGAGCTGAAAGTGAGGGTTGGAGGGCTCCTCCCCCACCCCAAAATGTGTGTGTGTGTCACCCGAAGGCTCACACGCATTAAGATGAAGATCAGAGTTCCCTACTCCTTTATCTTTGCCCCAAGAAATCTGTTGTGTGGAGGATTCAGTAAACCAAGATGTCTGAGCTCCCTCTCCCATACTCACCCCTGCCCCAGAGCTCTGGGCAGCTTTCTTCAAGCCCTCTCAATGACTTGCCTACAGCTGCAGATGACCCTAACTATGAGAATATCACCTTTACCTTCAAAAACCAGAACCAGCCAAAGGGCAGTCATTCACCACCCAACAATAAGGGTAAGCAGCCCCACCCCTCCCACACACAGCCCCTATCATAGGGCCCTGGAAGAGGTCTGTGGGAGGCAGGGACAAAGGGCAGTGTGTGAAGGTCAGGGTCAATGGTGTGGGGGTGTGGTGGCGTTGAGACTTTGTGTGACAGTGGTGGGGGGCCCCTGTGTAGGCGGTGATGAAGATGACAATGTGATTGTGTTGGTGGAAGTGTTGGTGAAGGTCTGGGTGTTAGTGATGCTGGTGGGTCAGGACGGGATCACCTAGACAGAGCTGATCAGAGTGTTAATGAAGTCCTGATGACCTGTTGATAGGGACAGTGCTGGCAAGGACAAGCATGGACGTTGGTGATGGGGAGCATAAGAGGGCATCGTGGGGACAGTGCTAGGGACAGTTGCTGGTGGCGCTGGCTGGGGTGCATGCTGGTGGCAGTGTTTTCGATGGCCACAGCTGCTCATGTATTGAGAACAGTAGATATAAGTGAAGAGCTGTCAGTGGTGTTAGAGTCAGTGTCGATGGGCTAAGCAGTGGTGTTAGGCCCTGGAGATGAGTTGTCCTACCTCTATCCCAGTGCCAGCCGAGTCCAGGCCACCCTCGGACACTGCCCAGGAACACCACTGGTTGCCTAAAGCCATGATGAGTCTGAACACCTTCTTGACTCTGTCCTGCATGGTCCTCTTAGTGCTGGTGCTGGTGAAGAGTGAGTGGGGTGTTTCTTTCTGTTGGCAGAGGAAGGGGCTGGGGGCAGTGTGGAGGGGTCCCCAGAAGCTGGGGAGGTCCAGTGCTGCTCCCGACTGCAGAATTCAGGTGATTCTAAAGTTTTTCTAAGGTTTCCTTGCCTCTCCCCATCCTGAACAGATTTCGAGGTGTCCAGGGAGCTGGTGGTCTTGAAAGAGGTGCTCTGGAAAGGTGAGAGGAAGAGCTGGGTCGGGGTTGGGGGAGTAGGGGGAGCGAAGGCGCCACTGACAACTCCAATCCACACCCTCATCTCCATTTCAGTGCAAGGGTACCAAGAAGAGCAGAAGACTCAGTGGGCCACTGTGAAGCAGAACATCACGGCAGCCAAGCAGAGCCTGGACACAATCAAGAGGAGCATCCAAGAGGGGAACCTGAAACAGAGGCAGCTGGCTACAGGTGCCCTGGCAGACCTCCCTGGGGCGAATATGCCTCCGTGCCCAGTATTGGGCTGGGTGCTGGGGAATCTGGGGAGGGGACAGCAGGGGCCCTGCCCTCCCCGAGCACAAGGTTTGGAGGGGTGATGGATATCACCCCCCACAAACACACCCTGAGTCACTCAGGGAGTATATATATGCTGCTGGGAATTCCAGGTACTTTGGGATTGTGTGGCATCTTTTTCGGTTTGGGGGTCGGGGAGAAGGTTTCCAATAAAGTTAAGAGTGCCCCATCTCATAGCATAAACACAAGCATGTGTCCTGCTGGGTGTTGTGTGATGGAGGTGTGAGGGGGTGGGGTGGTGGGTACGCCATGGGAAGTTATCACTGTAATTGTGGATGAGTGTCCTGTCACGCTATGCCGGTGTGAACAGGTGCATGTCAACACGAGTGTGCCTGATGACGTCGCCGAGGGTGTTCAGAGCAGTACCCGCATGTGTCCACTTGTTTCTGCACTCACATTTTGTGATTCATGATGATAAAGACCGAAGGGAAACCACATGGCTTTCCAATCTGTTTGGTGCGGCTGGGGGGCTTTGGGACCTGGTGGGGGAGGCTCCGTAAGTGTGCAGACTTGGAGAATGGGAAAGGTCGTGTGGGGAGCACATGGACCTGAAGCCAGGAGCCCTGGGGGCAGGAGGGGGTGTGAGAACCAGTGCACCCAGTGGGTCCCTGTGTGTCCATGAACCTGCACCCAGGGGTGACTGAATCCCTGTGCCTCTAACTGTCTGTGGATTGAGAGGTCCAATGCTCTTGGACCAAAACAGAAATGAGGTTTTATTCTGATAACCAGGAAAATACAGGGAACAATGAACAGTCTAGAGATGTAGCATAAACGGGCCTGAAAGAGTTCATTAATCCTAGCTTTATTTTAAATGTTAATAATCTGTAGTGTCTGTAACTCTGTCCTTCACAAGACTAACCTCTAACACTCTCTGATTCTGTGAATTATATCCGGCACCTAACACTCTAATTCTGTGTGAATTACATCCTGTTCCCGGTGTTTTACACTCTCTTGTAGCAAATCACTGCTTGCAGCATTCTGCATTTCAGGAAGAAGATCATGGGTCAATAACCAGGAGAGCAATGGACCCAATTACTGAGTTGCCTGACACTGTGTACTTAGTCGCTCAGTTGTGTCCAACTCTTTGCAACCCCATGGACTGTAGCCCTCTAGGCTCCTCTATCCATGGGGATTCTCCAGGCGAGAATCTTGGAGTGGGTTGACATGCCTTCCTCCACGGGATCTTCCCAACCCAGGGATTGAGCCCAGGTCTCCTGCATTGCAGGCAGATTCTTTACCTTCTGAGCCACCTGACACTAGCTCTGACTGTTTTGAAATAATGAAGGAAGAAGAAAAACGCAAGACCTTCACCATTTTGATCTTTGCCACCAACCCGCACCCCCGGACTTGGAGCCCCACCTATTTATTAGACTTCTGATTCCCCAGGGCGGGGGATGGGGTTGGGGGGTGGGGAATGATCTTGAGGCTACAGGCAGCTGCGTTCCCTCTTTGCCTGGCAAAAAATAAAACTCCTCTTTCTTTTCTCCTCCAAACGTAGTCTCTGTGCTTCTTCTGTTAGACATCGGTGCACCGAGAATCAAGATATTGGCATTAATGTCTCCCTAAGTGTGCATGGCCTCAGGGATATATAAGCCCCTGAGTACGGTACTGTGCTCCGGAATGTTATCTGTCCACAAAGCATGTATTCATGAGCGCACATGCCCCTAAGTGTACTATGCCCATGGCTCATGGGTGTACGTACCCTCAGAAAACTTGTGCCCACGGGCATGCACATGGACATGTTTGTCCGGAAGGTACATGTGACCCGAGACGAGTAGACGCACATGTGCCTGACACAGAGACCAGTGTTTATCATCAGACGTGCACTCCTGAGCAGGGGATGACCCATGCCCCTGTCCCCTTGATTGTGGGCCAACCAGGGCCTGCGAGGCCCCTGCCCGGGTACCTGCGCCCTTAAGTCGAGTTCCACGGACACGCGCGCCCCCCTGCGGCCGCTCTCCGGAATCGCCTCGCGCGTCCTGCCCACACGCCCGTCCCGTCGCTGCGCCTGCGCACGCCCCCTTTTACGGCGCCGTAAAGCAGCTCGGCCAAATCGGCGGCCGCAGGTCTGGGTGAGACCCCGCCCGCCACGACCCCTCCCCGGCCCCGGCCGTGTCCGTTTCCCGACCCCCTCCCCGCGGGTCTTTGGGTCCTGGGCCACGGTCTCGGTGTTCGCGATCCCCGGTCATCCCCCGCCTCGTCCCATCCGCCGGGGGTGGGGGGCACGAGGAGGGTGGGCTCCTCCCCGGCCCCGTTGCCTGGTCCACACCCGCGCCGAGGTCACGGGATCCCGGTCTTCCCGTGGCTTAGCTCACTAACCCCCTGGCAGCCGGGTGGAGGGGTTTCTACGCTCTCCCTCCCATCTCGCGCGCTGGGCCCTCCCCATGTAGGGGGCTGCGCAGCGGGGTAGGGACGTCCTGGAGTTCCTAAAATTCCCTCCGGTGCTCTTTTCATCCTCCACACAGACCCTAGTTGGGGCCCTGCCTCAGCCTCCCCCAGACCCTGGCCTCTGGTCCCGTCCCTGCGTAGTGGGGCGTCGGGGTTCTCAGCTACCCTACCCCTCCTGACGGTGGGGGTGTGTGTGTGTGTCTCGGAGCCCTTGACATCCCCCACCCGCGGCCATTCCCATCGCAGATCCACAGTGCGTTTGTCTCAGCATCCCCCAGGGATTTTCTCCCCACAGCCCCACTTCCGGGTCTCTCCCGCCACCGATGGCTTCACGCCCTGGAGTGGGAGGATCACGGCGCCCCCTCCTGGCTCCGCTAACCCCCCAGGTCCGACAGTCCGCCCCCTCCATCTTGTTTCCCACAGTGCAGCTAATTTTCTGGAAAGCACGAGGGTGGCGGGTGGGGGGTGGGCTCTCAGCGCCATCCCTGGCCGCCCCTCCATTTTTTTTTAACCAACGCGGGTTCACTCCAAGAGGCATGCTTCGTGCCTGACAAACTCGGTGTGCCCGAGGGTGCGGCTTTAGAAGGGTTGCCAGCATCCTCTCCTGGCTCGCTCCATGTGCCTTGCTTGTTCCCCAAGGCCCCAAACCCTCCTGGCCCTGGGTCTCGCCACACCCCCTTACTTCTCTCTTCTGACTTCACCCTGGGAAGTCAGCGCTGTTGCTGCTGGAGCGCCTGAGGTAGGGGAGGGATTGCTGCCGTGTCCTCTCATGGCCCCTGACCCTTGTCCCCTCCCTGCCCTAGGTCTGACGTCCCGCCCCCTCCCCACGCACCAGCTTGAAGGGTTCAGGACGATGCTTTTAATGCATAGAGGTCACCTGGAACTCATGGGTTGGGGTGGTTTCGAGTGTCTCCTTCTGGGTATCTCTCCCCACCTTCCCTCTCCACCAGAGAATGGAAGTGTTACTTGCTCAGTCGTGTCATGACTGCGACCCCATGGATGGTAGCCAGCCAGGCTCCTCTGTCCATGGGATTCTCCAGGCAAGAATACTAGAGTGGGTTGCCATTCCTTTCTCTAGGGTATCTTCCCGCCTCAGGGATTGAGCCCAGGTCTCCCACGTTGCAGGCAGAGTCTTTACCATCTGCCTCTCCTGGCCAAGGGTATAAGCCTCACAAGGGAGCTATGCTTTATGCTCAGGTAGATTCTCCTTTTCTTCTCATCTCTTCCCGCGTGGGAAATCAGCGATGGGATACACATAGGAGGTGGTTGGAAGGGGGTCTCCTTCCCGCCTCTGACACCCACGTTTCTTCTTCTCCCTGCAGGGCGGCGGCATGGAGGCGCGTTTCACGCGTGGGAAGTCGGCGCTGCTGGAACGCGCGCTGGCCCGGCCGCGCACCGAGGTGAGCCTGAGTGCCTTTGCCCTGCTCTTCTCCGAGCTGGTTCAGCACTGCCAGAGCCGCGTCTTCTCCGTGGCGGAGCTGCAGGCACGCCTGGCCGCGCTGGGCCGCCAGGTGGGCGCCCGCGTCCTGGATGCGCTGGTGGCTCGCGAAAAGGGCGCCCGGCGGGAAACCAAGGTGCTGGGTGCCCTGCTCTTCGTTAAGGGCGCCGTGTGGAAGGCACTCTTCGGCAAGGAGGCCGACAAGCTGGAGCAGGCAAACGACGACGCCCGCACCTTCTACATCATCGAGCGCGAGCCGCTCATCAACACCTACATCTCGGTGCCCAAGGAGAACAGCACGCTCAACTGTGCCAGCTTCACCGCGGGCATCGTGGAGGCGGTGCTCACGCACAGCGGCTTCCCCGCCAAGGTCACCGCGCACTGGCACAAGGGCACCACGCTGATGATCAAGTTCGAGGAGGCCGTCATAGCCCGGGACCGGGCCCTGGAGGGCCGCTGATCTCCCCGAGATAAAGGATGCAGACAGCCCCCTTCCCAAGTGTGTCTTGTGTCTTGTTTGAGGGCCTTGGAGAGCCCCTACACACCTCGACGGGGACTTCCCTGGCAATCCAGTGGTTGGGACTCCGCAGTTTCACTGCTGAGAGTGTGGTTGGGGAACTGAGGTCCTGCAAGCCTCACAGGGCCCTGCCAAACAAAACAAATCCCACCGTAACCCAGGCCCTTGCCTCAGGCCGCTGAGGGTGGCCGGAGGCCTANCTCCCCTGCCCCCCACTTTTTTTAGACCCTTGCTACTCCCAGTATGGTCCTGGGCCTTGGCATCAGCATTTGAAACCGATTGGGTGTCATCTTGGGGGCTCTGAAGGGCTCCGGTACCATAGTCCTTTATGTCTCAGCAGAGAATTCAGTGAATGGTGAAGTGATAGATAAGAAATGATTGATTAGAGCAAGACACTAGCACGGCTTTACAAGCAGGTGGGTGAGAAATGCCACACCCTGAGAATTTAACTGGGCTACAGTTTTAGAATCAAAGGAAAAGTGAGGAGGGGGAGAAGACCTCCTTTGTCTTTCTTAGTAGACGTCATGCTTCTATCATCAGCTCATTGTCCAGGGTGGGCAGGGGAGCCTTCTTGTCCCCATGTGGTTAAGCTAGGGCTGTAAATTATTCTTCTTGTGTGCAGAGAGCTTGTCCCAGGAATCACTAACTGAGCTCTCTGGGCAGGAGATGGGGCTCATGTCACCATTGTTTTATTGTTTTGGGTCACGTCCTGAGCTTCTGTTACATGGTTATATTGCTAAGTAAGCCTGGTTAGTTTTGTGGTTAAGCAAATCTGCTTTCTTGAGTAATTACTCATTTACAGGGGTCTGCCATATCTTTCTACTTACAGTCCCCTGGCAGGATTAGCTGTCTAATAACCTACTTTGTTTACATGCGTGCATGCTCAGTCGCTTCAGTTGTGTCTGACTCTTTGTGACCCTGTGGACCGTAGCCCCGCCCGGCTCCAGACTCCTGGCATTCTCCAGGCAAGAATACCGGACTGGGTTGCCATGCCCTCCTCCAGGGGATCTTCCCAGCCCAGGGATCGAACCCACCTCTCCTACCTTGCAGGTGGATTCTTCACGGACTGAGCCACCTGGGAAGCCCCTTGTCTCTGTCTCTGTCACATCTTCTGAGAGCCTGTCGGAAATGCAGACGCTCAGGCCCACCCCAGGCTAACCACTCAAGAGTCTGCATTTTAGCGAGGTCCCCAGGGGATTCCCGTGTGTACACTGGGGTGGCTGCCCCCTCCCTCCACTCCCCAGAGTTTCCAGTTCTGCAGATCTGGGCCCCAGCTGGGGATTTGCATCTCTAACAAGTTCCCAGGAACTGCTGGTACTCCGGAGGTGGGGGGAGGGGGGTCGGGGGGACCCATTTTGAGAACCCTGGCCCTAGCGACTTGCTTCTCAAGGGGAAATGGGCAGGTTCACTGCAGAATCATCTGGGCGCTTAAAATAGTTTGCGGTTAATTTCTGAGCATGTGAGCCGTGACTGGACACACCTTCCTTGCTCAAAAAGGACAGTGATCACACTTCAGGTGAATTGCGCCCTTGTGCCCACCACTCTTGATCACTCCTTCCTCCCCCTCCCCCGCCCAAGGAAAGCCCTTCTGGACTTTTGGGGGTGAAATTTCTTCAAATTTTCACTTCTTTCTCTCCCAGCCCCAAGACGTGAACAAGTGTGTTTTGAGAGGGAATCTCAGACGCTTTTGCTTGGGTCCCCCTTACGGCTTATGAGAAGGGTTTAAGGGCAGGGCGGGTGCAGCTTTTCCACTGACTGTTTGGAGGGGGATACAAGATAAGGAGATGGGGGTGGGGTGGGGATGCCAGGCTTGGTCGGGAGCAGCTTCAGTCATCCCAGCAAGAGGTGAGGCTCAGCACATTGCCAAGGAGGTACTGGGTGTCAACAGGAGAAACAAAAAACCCTGTGTAGCGCAGAGATGATCAGGAAATGGCTAGTGGGGCGGGGGTGTGGGGGCAGAGGGGAGGCAGCCCCGGGCAGCTGGGAGAGGGCTAGCTGGGGTGGCAACCTGAGCCAGGGGTGAGGAGGCAGTGTCGGTGCCTGGAGGATGGAGAGCCAGAGGCTCTGGAAAGCCGGATTTCAGAGGGAGCCACGGGCTGAGCAACCCGAGGTCTTCAGGGACCCTAGAGAGAGAGGCTTCCGGGCCCACTGGGGCAGGGGCCAGATTGTGGGAGCGAGGGGCAGGAGGTGGGGGTGGCAGGACAAGCTCCGTTCAGAAGCCTAGCAGTGAAGGATGCCCTAGAGCAGCAGTCCCCAGGCTTTTGGGCACCAGAGACCTGTTTTGTGGAAGACAGTTTTTCCATGAATGGGGGATGGGAGAGGGGAGTTTTGGGACGATTCAAGCACATTAAATTTACTGTGCACTTTATTACACCAGCTCCACCTCAGATAATCAGGCATTAGATCTCAGGAGTTGGGGACCCCTGCCCTAGGGACATAGGACGGGGGGAAGGAGATACAGTTGGTCCCCATAGGATGATGGAGAGCTTGGGAGCTGGGAGAGGAGAGCCCAGGGTCTTTTGCTCCCTGCAGAGGATAGGTAGGGACTTGGGACAAAAGGAGAAAGTTTGGGGCAGCTGAAGGATTATGGGGCCAGGTACCTGTTAAGGGCAAGGGGAGGACGCAGGGAACAAACTAGCAGCCATGGTCCTGCAGGTTCCCATCACAGGGGCTCTGACTTCGGATGCTCAGGGCTGAAGCCCCCAGGTGGAGGGGAGTGGAGTGAGGAGGATAAACCCAGCACCAATCCTTGGTGAGGCAGGCAGGCAGCATCCTTCGTTTCAGAGTCCCCCGAAGCAGGTGCCGAGAGCAAGTCGCATGTCAATTTAATTCAACTGATATTTATTGAGCGCCTACTCTATGCCAGGCTCTGGGGACACAGCTGAGAACAAAAGAAAGGCCCCTGCTCACCTGAAACAGATCAGTAACACACAACCTGCTGAAAGGAGAAGAGGCTTTGGTGCAAAAACACAGTGGGGTAGAAGGGATGGGGAGTCAGGAGGTGTCCTTTTAAATGGGAGGGAGGTGGGAGGAGCATGTGCAAAGGCCCTGTGGTGGGAGTTAGCCTAAATATTGAAGGAGCAGTGAGGATGCTGGCAGGGGAGAAACTGGGGAGATACAGCCTGCAGGAGGGGTCCACACTCTCAGAAAGAAGCCTGTGGGACTCTGGCTTTTTCCCTGAGCTGGAAGGAAACTTCTGGGGGTCTTAGGGCAGTGAAGAGGAAGACCTGGGTGAGCAAGGAGGGGGCCTGCACCAGGCTGAAGCAGGAGGGGTGAGACGTGGGGGGATTCTGAATGTGGCTTGACTGGGGCCTGGCTGTTTCTGATGGGTTTGGAAGGGGGTTGGTGAGAGAAAGAGGTGGCGAGGGTGACCCCCTGTCGACCTGAGCAACCTGGAGGCAGAAACCTGAGTTCCCATGAGGAGAGGTTGGGTAGGCAGCTGTGCACTGGCCCAGAGTTCCGAGGAAGGTTTTGGGGGAGAGAAAAATCTCGGGGTGGTGCAGGGGAGAGTGAACAGGTGAGTGGGGGTTCTAGCCCATTTTTCACTTAAGGGGTCAGCTTTGTCCCCTCCCTGTTCTGGACCCTAGGGAACCCTCCACAGCCTCCAAACGTGTGGCTGGGGCTTAGCCTGGCCCTTGACTCTTAGGATTCTGCATGGTCCTGGGTGGCCCATTGTGGGTCTCTCCTCTTTCTCGAGTGGGCCCGAGAATCACAGGAGTGTGTCTGGCTCTTCCTTTTCTAGACGAGAAACGGGGTGGGCAGGTGAGGTGCTTAACCAGGGGCATTCTAAGATCCTGGTCTGCCTCCCTCCATGGCCCCCCAGAGGTGTGGGTCTGACCTTGGTCAAACCTGGGGTTGGTGCTGCCCCAGGCTCCCAGACCCTGCATGCGGGTGGGGCCGGCAGCTGAGGACCCAAACTGGCCTCCAGGTGACCTGTCCACCTCCCCCATGAGCTTCTCCAGCCTTCTATGTACTGGGCCCTATTCTGGACTGAGAACTGCATTCATGGCAGTCCACTGCCTTGCCCTGCAATATTCCTGAGTGTCTAGGGGTGTTCTCTGCTCCATCAGACCCGAGTCTTCATCTTCAGGGCCTGCCTAGTAAATGCTTCTTATAATGAAGTAGGAAAAAAAAACAGAGGGGAACTATCCATGCCACTTCAGTTCCTGGTACTCAGAGGTGGCCCTGGGCACCACATTTTACAACTCCCAGCATCCATGTTCCACGCCTGGAGACCAGAGCCAGCAAGGCCCCGAGGAGGGGGCATGAGGGGTCATCATGGCCCCATTCTATTGATGTGGGTCGGTGGGGTGGGGGGGGGGCATTGGCTGCCTGAGCTGAGGTCTCTGTCCTCTGGGGCCAGGATATGGATCTGCATCACGAGCTAGGGATGGAGGAAGCACGCTGGGGTCTCAGGTATTCCCTGCTGCTCCCTGGAAGGCTGGGCTGCCAGGCACTGTGCCCCAAAGGGAAGGGAGCTTCTAGCCTCCAAACTGGAAGGCAGGGGATTCTCACTTGAGGGCAGGGCAGTGGTGACGGCCGGCTGGGCTGAGAGGCAAGGGATGGGCCCTCGGGGATTTTGGTGGGGACGCGGGAATGAGTCTGCCGCTTCTTCTCGCTGAGGGTCCTCAGGGTCTTGCTGTGGGTCGCGCTGTTGCCGTGTTTAAGGTGGAGGAGTGATGCAGAAGGGTGCAGCTGGATGGTGGGCAGGGGCACTCAGGGCCGAGGTGGCAGGCCAGAGCTCAGCATGTGGCCAGCCGGTCACACACCCAGCCATGCAGCTTGCTGCCACAGAAGGCATCATTCCACTTCCCAGAGCTCAGCATCATCACGCAGTTCTCACCCAGGCCCGCGTCGTTGGGTTCCCCCGGCTGCCAGTTGCTGGAGCAGAAGGCTTCAGGTCAGAGGATGAGGAAGGAGGAAGGGTCCCCTGGGCCCTCCCCACCCCATCACTGGATTCCCATCACAACGCCCAGCAGCCT